CAAGTTAAACCAATTGAGCACAAAGGAACAAAACAAAAACAAAAAAAACAACAGAAACACAGAAGGCTGAAAGAAAAGACATCTTATATACTCCCATCTTATATAGACTAGGGCCGAAACAATCAGATTAATCGTAAATCATCAATTATTAAAATAACCGTCCACTAATAAAGTAATCGTTTAATTGTAAAGGGGATATGCCGGGTTTTTTTTACATTGGGCCCTTGATTTTATGTTATTACATCATGTTCTACTCACCTGTATGAGTTTTGTGTCATTAAGACCTGTTCTGAGGATATTCTGTTAGGTTATATCCAGTAACGTCTTCCTATGGGCAACGACTTGAAGGCACAAACTAAACTGTTCAGAATTGATCATTTATGGTACGCCAGCATTCATAACATGTAAGCGAATCACTGTCTCCCAGACATCCGCGGTTATATTTTTTATATTTCTTTTTAAAACAAAGCAGAGTTGTCACAGGACTAGAGTTGTGACAGGCAGCCCGGGCCACAGGCGGCTACGCTCTACCCCTTCTATTCATTCTAGCTAATCTAAATGGTTCAATTCCATTTGGAGAGCGAGATCATCTGTGGTAGCAGCACTAGACATCTTCCAGGCATGTGAGGAAAACTAGCAGCAGTTCAGTGGACAGGATGAATGAACGGTAGCCGGCGCGTGCGGATGACATCATACAAAAAAACTGCGTTCCCCTTTAACTGAAGTATAGAGACTCTAAAAAATGCCTTTAGAGTCTCCGTGTCAACCTGGGTCAAAAGACTTGGCATGGGGCCTGGGATAAAATCCCCTTCAAATGGCTCTGTAATGATCTCGGCACTGATGCTGGGCTGATCAATCACTCCAGGTTCGGCTCAGATCGGCATTCAGTGAGAAAATCTGAACAGGGTCGACCCACTAATTTACGTGATATCAATGAGCGCAACAAACACGTAACATCGCGTCAGTCTGACAGATTTAATGAGCCAAAACAACTCTGCTTCTTTTAATAAACATTATGCGGCACTATTGAGGGGAATTCGGACAGACGAAAGGACAAAACAATACAGCACAGTTACTACTTCCTGTCTTCCTTACATGTTGCTCTCCATTGTTTACTTTCCTGATTTCTGTCGCGCTGTTGACATCATCAATGCCACCATAGCATAATGGCATCACAAGACATGCAGCGGTGTGGAAACAGAGGCCACACAGCTTGCCATGGGGGGTCAGACCCAGCTTTGTTGCCAATGTGCAGGGAGCCAAATGCTGATTGTTACGTAGCTGGTCGACTCGTCTTTGAAAAACCCTGCTAACCTGCTAATGTCGGAAAGAGGCTTTATAACTGGTACCTCACACAATAACAATTAAAACATCCATCCATCTATCTTCTCCCGCTTATTTCATCAGGATCATGGTGGGGCCAATGCCCATCTCCGGCACTCTATGGGCGAGAGGCGGGGTACACCCTGGACAAGTTGCCAGTCCGTCTCAGGGCAACACAGAGACACACAGAGATGTAGAAAAATACAAACTCCATGGAGAAAGACCCCGGACTGGGAATCAAACCCAAAACCTTCTGGCTGCAAGGCAGCAGTGCTACACACTGAACCACCATACAGCCTGTAATTAAAACATGATAAACATAAATAAAAAGGTAGTTTTTCCAAATTTCTTTAAATAAGTGATGTTTGTAAAGAACATTGTTGGTTAGTGAATTTTTTTTTTTTAAAAAGGGCATTTTGCATCTTCCACCATAATGTAGCCTTAATTCTGAAGCTTGCCAGGGGAACTTAAACAAGACCTTGACTGAGGGTAAAAACATAAAGACTGACCTTCTTTATAGAAGTCGTTGTCTGGGATCCTGTTGGCCAGGAAACCTCGCAGGATCTGACAAAACAATTAGATGAATTATCAACGTTTCCATCAGAGGAGGATACTGAGCAGCTTTCAGAACCAGCGGATTTCAGCTGATCCTGCCTGTACCTGCCGAGGGAGGTTGGGAGGGTTGTGACAGCACAGCTTCATCATGGTGTCAAGCTCATGGAGAGTGCTTGGAATGAGAGGGATGGACTCCTGCTTATTTGTCTTCTCCATCTCTCTCAGACGGCTGATGAACTTGGACTCTGTGGGATAAACCAGACCTACAGGGGAGAGGAGGAAAAGTGTCTGTCAGCGGTGGAGCAAGAATGGAGAAGGTGGTGAGGGGATGAGGTAGAAGAAGATATTCAATTATTTGACCAAAAATATATAAATATGTCATGAAGTTAAAATATGTGACTGTATCATCAAATATTACATAAATAATTACCTTCTTCAATTAAATAACCCGTAAAGATTAATCTAGTACTTGTTTGTATTAAATAATCAAATTTACAATTAAATTATGAAATTAACATTTAAAGCACCTTTAAACATTCAAATATAAATTCTAAATCATAAAATTAGATAAATATTTTTCTAAATAAATATATTTAAAGGTACAGTGGTGGGTGTTTTTTTTCCGGGTGGATCATCTAAATAAGTGGTCCTCCTAACTGTCAATCATTTTGGTGATGTGTTTACATAAGGCCGTCCTACGTGCTCGTCCCCATTTTCACTTACCGGTGGTGAGTCTGCATAGTGGAAAAATTGCAAATCTTCTTTTGTAAAGTGAGCTTGTATGAGCGATGCAAACAGCAGCTTTTAAAAAGAGCATGCACGAGAAAATCAGGAGAATGGGCTTTTGCACACTCTCGCACACTTTTAATGGTGTTTTGTTCTTTAGTCGAGAGGGCAGGTCAGCAGACGCTGATGTCACTTTTATGTATGAGCAGCAGCTTTTCTCGTGAATCATAGAGTTCATCCTGGTTCTCTTCATAGTAAACAGATGAACAGAAGCAGGTAGGTCATTGTTGACTTTAGAAAACCATCCAGTTCTCATCTTCATACCATCAAGATATCGATTAGCCTTAGTACCTAACTTTTACGTTGCTGAAACCAAACCAATACAAATGACAAGAAAAGCTGAGAGAGGCTGACTGTGTCTCCATCTTCACATCCGATTACCAATCCATCTGTTATTGATTTTATTTAGTTCCTATTTTTGTTCAGTAACTGTTCTGTAATGGATAAAATGTAAATGATAAAACCTACTTAAGTAAAAGTAAAAATGTAACTTTGGTAAAATTGACTTTAAAAAGTAAAAAGTAAAGGCAAATTATATTTAATTACAGTAACACAAATAACAGCAAAAAGTTATATTCTAATCTTGGGGCTATATAACACAAAGGTTGGAATCTGATAATTAATTCACAGAGAAGAAGCATCATTTAAAGACTTAAAGCTACAGTGTGTAATTTTCAGCGACATCTAGCGGTCAGACTGCAGACCGCAGCAACATGAACATCTCCCCTCACCGCTTCTCCCCCCCAACAGTACGGTGAGCGTTACGGGACAAAATGTCTTCCACGACGTCTTCTACCTACCTTCTCAAGTGATGAGGTTTGTTTACATAGATAATTTTTAATACTGACATCTATTGTTCAGTACCGTCTCAGTTCATCTCTCTCAACTTGCCGTAGTTACTTTCGAGCGTAATGGGC